AAGACTTTACTATAATGCTCTCTACTTGCTATCTTAGTATTAGGTGATACTGACTGACCAATGAGAAAAAGGATGTGGTTATCATCTCGGTTAAGATAATCTATTGACAAAGCGTACTGAGGAATTATCAATAGATTAACCTTTTAGGCAAAATGACGAATCAGACGTCGTTCAAAAATTTTTTTTGAACTACGAGATTCTACAATATGCACCGAAAAACTTTTGTCTAACAAGGCAAGTCATTATTCTTTCTCAAACACAGTTTTCTGGTGAGATTGTTTTCATCGGGTCGGGTCGGCATTTTGGCAGTCGGGTCGGGTTCGAGTTAGGTGTTCTTAATCCGTGCAGGTCTGTACCATAGATCTCTTCAAGACATGTGCTAAGTAATTAAGAAAATTTTTCTCTGAGAACCATGTTAAACTTTTTATGTAACTTGTGGGTTAAAAAACTCAACATGCAAGTTTCCTAAATTTTATAAAACTTTTTACAAGCTTCATAAATGTGTGATTTATGAAACTGAATTTATGAATACGGGATATCTCGAATAAAGAAAAGAGATGCGAGAACGCCTTAACAGAAACAGATTATTTTCCCTGAAAATGTTTAAGAAGTTTTTTAAATCAAAATCCCAAATTTTTTTCACCAAAACCAAATAACGACAAAGTTATAGCAGAAATTCTGCTTGTGCTATTTCACTGACACGACTATTACGTTCATTTTAAGAATAATTTAAGCTGTCGCATCGGAGAAAAGTCGAATTTGAGATATGGATGACATTCAGCCATGTACTGAGTTTCATGTCAAGTTTTATAGAGAAATTCGTATTTCTGTCGGATGGAGGCGAGGTAAGTCATTTTCTTGATGAGAAGCGGTTAGAAAATAACTATAAACTCAATGGTTAAATGTTCTCATCGGCTAGAAATTATAGAGAACCAGATGAATTAAATGTCGAAAATATTGTTTACTATGACTGACTCTGTATTTCAAATGATCAAGTCTACATACCGAAAATTAAACCCTTTTGAAAAGTTCTCAGCTTTAAATTTTGCATCCAATCTTCCAAACGAATATACTGGAACGCACTTTTTAACATTAAAATCAAAATTACAATCCCAGTTTAGTTTAATTTTAATTACACCACCAAATTTTAACATTAATTCACGTTCAGCTTGATCGGTTTCAGCTGATTCAATTATTGTTGATAAACGAAATATTGGACACGATTTATCATGAATATCATGATAAAGACACGGTGACATATTATCATGAAAATTTTTACGAATAACTTTAAATCCAGGAAATTCGACAAAATTTTTTAGAAATATAGTAAAATTGAGTACCCCTTCAATTAATTCTCGCTGAGCAAGATCATCCTCCACCGGGCACCAGCCCTCTATTTCACATAAACCAACGGTTTGATTTAATCGTATTAAACACCGTCCAGTCCATCGTCCATTAGTATGAAGAAATTGATAATTATTTGCAACACATTGCTCATTTCTTGTACAATGTGCATTATCTATATATTTTGATTCTTCACATGTCATACGTTTCTGTTCAGTTCGTATATAACAGGACATGATAAATACAGCAGCATTTTCTAATGGTGGTATAACATAATCGGTACCATCGATAATTGTTGTTTGATTTTTTAACGATTCAACATAACCAATGCCTTTTACTTTTAATGTTACAGATGATACGATAGACGAATCTTGTTTTTGATAACCTTTCTGGTACAACAATAAATATAAGACGCCGTAAAGTAAAATAATAACTTGACTTATACGTAGTAATAAAGTAAATTTTGCACTTCGAATAGTAACAATTTTTGGAGTTTCATAATCCGTAACAAAATCATATACGGCAGATTTGATTGTTTTAGAATTAAATACATTTGATACTGGCAATGGAATGCATGTTGACATTTTTATTGATCAGTCAATTTTTTTCATAGAATAATATATAGTTTCTAGTTGTAGTTTGGTTTCAATTTTATAAATGATTGACTAATAAACGATTATTAACACTTGTAAACAGTTACTATCTACTGCAAAAAGAATAAAGTCCGTTGTTAAATGTCTTTCGATAAAAAAAACGAAATAAACTAAAAAGTAATTGTGCTGCGCACAACTTGCGATATTGACAGACACTGCACTCTAGTTGTCACTCTATAACTAGTTACCACCTCAGTGCCTGTAGAAGATACGAATACTAATGACTCATTTTTAATATCAATCACATAGACTTTAGTATTAATGTGCCCAGCACATATAATAAATCTTCTTTTTCTTCTTTGGTCTTTCCTCTTTCTTCTTTCTTCTACTAACTTAACAGTCTATTCTCAGCACTTATTAAATGTCTTTCTGTTTTTATTTATAAAGAGCAAAGAATTAAAAAAATTTTCTGCTTAAGAATAAATGGTGCCGGACAACTGATGGTAATGAACTTTGAAAAGCTTTCGAGTCCAAACACATTTTCTTCCACTTGTGTCGCTTATGGAGCCGAATCTGGAGTTGTGCTTGAAAAAACATTTCGGTTTTAATGAACGAAATGAAAACGAATAAATTTTCTGTTTTAGCGCGTGAATTTAGTTTTCTATCTTTTCCTCTCTCACTGAATTTAATCCATAATCCGTCAACTTGATCATTAATATGGCATGAAGTCGAAAGTATTTACTTGCCTTTTTTACTCTAACTTCGAGTAAACAAGTTACACATTTCAGAAAAAGATTGCCTGAATTTGTGGACATATCGGACCGTCACTATCACTGCGGGGTTTAACCCTTTGCCATAGAATGACGTGATATTCACATCATATACAGCTTGTCGTATACAGCTGCATTATTCTGCCTTCAGAGTGAAAGCTGCAGGGGGATTACTTCAAGATTCAACATTACCCGAATGCAAGTTCCGAAAACTGCAGTTCATAATAAACTCCTAGAAGCGCTTCCTAAACAATGGCCTTATATAATTGTGCTCAGAGTTCTCGTAATTTATATATTTATTCATGTATTTGTAGCATAATGCAAAAGTTGTAATAAATGGCAAAAGAAAATAATTAATTCTGGATATCTTGAATAAGGAAAATAATACTATGCCAAGGGGTTAACACATCAAAAAAGTAATTTTTCCTTTTTTTACATTGAATTACATACATAATCCAGTTTTAGTAACAGTAATCATGAGAATCAATTTGTCTTGTAATTGTATCATCTGATATGTATACGTTGAACTAGCACACACACACATATATATCTCAGCTAACTTATTAAATTAATTTGTAAACAGAAATTCTGTATATAAAAATAATACAGAAAAAGAATCAAGAAAAAATAACCCATAAACAGGTGTTGAAATGTAGACAAGAATTTTCTTTTCAAAATGATGCGCTTTCTTGTCCAGCTGACGGCTTGTCCAAACGTCACGGCGTTACGTTTTTGACGCACTAAACTTCGATTATCTTGGAAACTAAAGTAGCTAAAATGTTCGCTTAAACGTCAATCGACACAGTTCATCATGCTCTACTTATGCTGCGAAAACGAAGTCTTTTGGATGTTGCATTGGCCTTTGAGAAGGATTTTAGTGTTCCGTTACGGCGTTACGAAAAAAGATCCTTTTTTAAGAGTGCTGCTACAAAAATCCTGATTGGCTGCGAAAGTAGTTCCCCCAACGGAACATTCCTTGAGCCGATCCTATAGAGCAGCTCACGGGTTTTCTAATGGTAAAAAAATGTTTCACCTAGATTATTAGATTTGCCTGAAAAACACAAAATATAAGCGTCACAGCGTTACGTTTTTCGTCACGGCGTTACACACTTTTTTGTCAAGCATATTTGAGGCACTTAACACGATGGTAGAGTTTTGATTTTCACAACTTCCTTCCTGTGTTCTTTGTATATCTGATCAATCTACGCAAAAATGAAGTTGCTGTATCAAAAATAAGAGCTCAAAAACTGAACAGTAAGTCGGAAACTATAGAAACTCAAGAAAAAGTATGCTGTTTTCTAGAGAATTCAATTCTCTACAAAAGCATATTATTAGAAATTTGTTTTAAAAAATGTTTTTGGTTAAAATATTAAAAATCCGGTTTCTGAAAAGTTCAAAACCAGGTTTTTTGGATGAAAACTGAACTTTTTTGAAAAGCGAGTTTCAAACGGGTTCTTAAAATAAAAAACTGCATCTAATCATGTTTTCAAAACTTTCGATATCGAGAAAAAAGTTTTCAAAAACTGTACCTTTACATGGACAAACCGCTGAGCGTCCTTGCAAATAAAATTTTATCTGCACGAGTGTTTCTCAAATTCCACTGCATGGTTTAGGTTGTTCTATTACAACATTTCTACATTTCATCAAATATGGCGTAATATTTCAAAAAATATTATCAAAAAGGTAAGATACAATGTCGAAGCGAAAAAAGCGTCCATCGTCTTCATTCTTCTAGTAATGTATTTTTATACATAGAATTTCTATTTACAAATTATTCAATAAGTTAGCTGACAATGGAACGGTTTGTACTGTCAAGCCGCTGTCAAGTTCGGAGCATGTGTTTTAGATAAACCCCGGTATGGTATAAAAAACCCCAAAAGGCTATGTGCTGATGGGCCTTTCCTCCAGAGTTACAGTCATTATACTGGAATTTTAGCCTATTGCATGGTATCTACCAAAAACACTAATCACGATATTTCGACCTGAAATTTTGTCCACAAGTAGGCCTACTTGTAACTAGAATGTTCTGCAAATTTCAGTTCAAAAGAATGTTCCCT